AGTGAAGGCAAACATGGATCTATGGGTGGATAGATGGGTGGACAGGCTGAACTATTAGTTATGACTATGCAGGGGGGAGTGTGCCCATGACCATGTATAAGGCTGGCAATGTTTCTACAAGTGCATTTATATGTTCTGTAAGAATTTCCAGGTATATAGTAGAGCTGACAAGGGACAAGATTGTAGTCACTTCTTGGCCACAGCCAGATACCCAGAGGAAGAAAACAGTTGGACCTGTGGGCTCAGGACCATAGTCACAGGGGACATCAAGCTCAACTGGCATAATATACTGCACAAAAATGTTCTACATCCTACTTTGGCGAGTAGCTATTGGGATCTTAAAAGCTTGCAAGCAGCCATCTAGATGCAACGATGGGTCTCTCTTTGTCCAGAGCAAAGAAGAATGAAGAAAGCCAGAGATGCATGGAAATAATTAGTCCAGGTGACTGGTATACCATGCAAGCCTCAGCCTATATGACTATCAGACCAGAAGAACTAGATGGTGCCTGGCTACCACTGTCAACCACTTTGAGAGGGATCTATGTAGGAGATCCTGGACAGAGTGGGAGAACAATGTGGAACAGAACTCAAAATCATTAAAAAAAAAAAAGGGACCAGTTTTGCTGGTCTGATAGAGCCTGATGGAACCACTGAGACTATGGTCCCCAGATGTCCTTCAGGTCCAGAATTGAACCCACTCCCGTGGCTTCCAGCCAAACAAAAGACAGCCCTATGAACTGGACATTTACATTAGATAGACACACTCTTTGGAGAGATCAATCATGGGAGAATAGAAGGGCTGTGTATGCACACGGAGACAGCTCAGGGGGCAGGAGTGCATAGGAAGGAAGGACACAGGGAAGAGGTAACTATGGGGAGTAAAGGAGAGGGGAGCTCTTGAATTATGGGAAATTGCCATCAATGTCATGAGACAAAGTGTATGTGAGCTGCTGTATGGAAAGTGAATTTGCTCTGTAAACTCTCACCCAAATCATCATCATCATCATAATACTAATAATAATAAAAGATTAATAATACAGTTAAAAAATGAGAAGAAAACATGATTAGACACTTCATCAAAGAGGATATTCAGGTGGCCAGCAAATACATGAAGAAATGCTCACGATCATTAGCCCTCAGAGAGATGCAAATCAAAACAACAATGAGATACCATCTCACCCCAGCACTAATGGCAAAGTTCAACAAGACAGAAAATAACAAATTTTAGAGAGGATGTGGAGAGATTGCGACTCTCATACACTGCTGATGGGACTGTCAAATGATACAACCACTGTGGAAAGCAGTTTGGAGATTCTTTAAAAGCCTGGAATTAGAAATATCATTTGACCCAGCCATCCCATTACTAGGTATATATCCTAAAGAAGTGAGCTCCAGGACAAGAACAGATACATGCACACCCAAGTTCATCGCAGCACTATTTACAATAGCCAAAAGATGGAAACAACCTATGTGCCCATCAACAGAAGAATGGATAACAAAATTATGGTACATATACACAATGGAACACTGCAACACTAAAGAATAATGTAAAATCTTCAAAACACTGCATAACATGGATGAACTTAAGAGAATATTAAAAAATAAACAAACAAACAAAAACCCAAACTCACCACCATCGAGTCATATCTAACTCAGAGAAATATTTCCTGGGGTTTCTGAGGTGGTATCTCTATGGAAGTAAATTGCCCAATCTTCCTTCTGAGGAGTGCCTGGTGGGTTTGAACTGCCAGCCTTCTGATTAGCAGTCAAATGCCTTAGGCACTAGGCCACCAGAGGTCCCTGGAGGACATTATGCTGAGTGAAATAAGTCAATCACAGAAGGACAAATATAGTATTAGTTCATTATTGTGAAATGTCAAGGAAAAGTTTATATATGGAAGGAAACTTTCTTTGTTGGTTCCCAAGGGTGGGATGGGAGGGGAAGGAACACTGCAAAAAAAAAAAAAAAAAA